TTTTTTTATTGTAATAATTAGCAAAATTATTACTCAATTATCATGCTGTGATTCCAGCAGTTCATGCGTAAACTCTTGAAGCCAATCTATGAGGCCAGCAGCCTGCAAAACATTGCAGACAAATATAGAAATGACAGTTTCTTCTATGAAGTGTGAGTTTTTGGCCTATATGTATACGAAACAAGAGTTCCTATTGTAAAGAGGGAGTCGTAGTTAGCGAATTTTAAATAACAACCATGTTATGAAAAAAAAGTAGCTGTAAAAGATCTGTTTTTAAAACAAATATTGATGATTTGAGCATGGAGAAGGCTTCAAAACACTGACCAATGAGCCGTCCATTACATGTAGCCAACTCGGCTCTTATTGTCCAAATAGTTTATTCTTTGCGGTCGACATTTCCGTAACCAAGTTCAGACGGGCGCATTTTACTAAGGAAATTGATTGAAGTGAGATTGAGGGAAACGAAAAGCCATCAAGCGTTTTTTTATTAAGCATTTTGGAGAGAACAGTGATTGAAGCGTACTGCTCACTCGGATCACAAGAATGTATTGCTAACTACAAAAAAATCTTTGACGAGCAGGTCGTGCAAAATTGTAAAGATGCGAAGGCAATGGCGAGTAAATGCTCTACGTAAGTGTAAGTCAAAACTCTTCATATAATTTAAGCCGCCTTCGATAAATTGTAGCGTTGCTGCACCCCTCCGACCAAAGACCTACTGTTATGGTGTCAGAGAAGGTGGAGATGCTGCTTTCAAAAAGGTAGAAAATCCTGAACTAACAAATGACACGTAAACCTCTATACTTTTCCAGGTAAAAGAACTGTATATGGCTGAGAATGTCGCTTTGGAAAAAGACATTCTTCGACGTGCTCTTGGATGTCACAAGGATGTCGTAGCTTTGAAAGAGTACGTCTTTACAATAATGTTTGTATGGATTCGCCATACAAACTTTTCAGGCTTCTATTCTTAACCATTGATCGGAACGCTGCATTCGTGCGGCTTCAAGACGTTAGAGATCTATTTAACAGTATCTCCGAAAACCCAGCCGGTCAAGAACTCATACTCAACTTCTTATTGGAGCGCTGGGATGACATATACAACGGGTACACTGAATTGTCAACAATTATTTAGTTTCAT